AGGTTCTAATAATTGAGGAAGAAGAAAAAGGAGGACGAGGCTCAGGCCCTTCTACCAACAGGATGTTGTTGGCCAATTTGCGACAAAGGATCAAACTTCTCTATCGCTGCCCCTTGGTTGCTGAAGCTAGCGGTTGCCTCTGGCTCGCCAGTTCCATACTGAGCTTTGCCTCTGCTCTTGGTGGTCATCTTGAAGACCTTATGCGCGAGACCTCGTCCCTACAAGACAATGTGCACACAAGACTCCGATCAACCAGTCGCTCCGCATTGCCAGTTTCCATCACCACCTCAAATCATTATCTGGCATTTCGAGACAAGAACCTGAGACTATGATACCCAGAGCATCACCCAATACCTCGGACGACGAAAGTCAGTGCAAAATGGCTGCATAGGCTGAGGTGCCAGCTGAGGCGCGAAATGTTACTGCCAGCGGATTGACGTCCCACAGCCGCGCTAATTACTGTGTATTCTTCTATCTAAATATTAACTATGTATACGACGTATGCAAGCGAAAACAACAAGAAACTATAGATATATTTCCATAAGTATTTCTACCTCTTATCTACTTGCTTAAAAAATAGTGTTCCGCCACACCGGTTGTTCAGGTACGAAGGGATGCACGTCAGTCATCACGTAGTAACTTTGCATAATGAGGCTATGTACCCTGCATGCATTTTGCGTTTCGCATCTCACTAATCGCTTTCCTGCGGGTTTTTTCATTCCTCAAGGAAATTTGAGCAGTAAAGTTCAGGCCTAAACAGGACGATACGAACTTGGTGGGCTGCACTAACCACTTCCGGTAGCTTGCAACGGTCGAAGAACTCCATATCGGGGTATGATCGCTCCATAATGCTCCAAATTGTTCCTTCTTAGAGAGATAGCAAAGCCAAACACCACCAGTCCTGCGAAGATCCATAGGAGGTTATCATAGCCCATTCTGTTATAATTTAATAGCTTCCAGATTGTTGCAGCGGCGGACCTACTTGATAGAGTATCCAGAGCTTGTACTGAAGGCATACACACCAGATGAGACTGCTTCACAGATTTAGGTCACGCACGAGTGTTTTTGAACAGTATCTACAGCCTGGGATGGCATAAAGTCTGCTGCCAGTGCATTTTGTATAAAGTAAGCATTCAGTCAATTCTGGACGGTGTCAGAAATCTCGCGATATACATCTTCGTAGGTACATGAAGTGTATTGGTATAAGCTGCGTGTGGTCACCATAAGCTGCATGTAAGCATTTGTTGAATCGCAGCATGGAATGCTTAGTTCTTTACTGTGCTCTCCAGGCCTACCAACGGCTGGGGCCTGTGATAGGAACCGTGGTCTTTTGGAGACGTCCATGCACTAATGCAGTAATGATTAGGGTAATGTGGCTCTGGGAGTGGTTGTAACGCCCTCAGCAGCTGCATCAGCCTCGCAGCTTCATGTTTTCTAGATCAAGGGTGCTAATAACCAAATGGAGTCGTGCAATTTGAAGCCTAGAACATCTTGCTTGCTTTGCTCTACGATCCACAAATCCTATGAGGTCACATATAAAGTGATGAGCGTATCTGTTGAAGGCTGCGTAGGCGCCTTGTCTTTTGTTTCTTCGTCTTCACAGCCCTATTCGGGTCCCTTCATCAAAAATGTGGAACCAGATTTATCTAATGCTCTGTGCAAGCGCACCTGTTTGCGAAGCGTCCATGCAACACCCTTATCCAGAGCCTTACCCGTTCACCATCTCCAACGCCTCCAGCCAGAATGCACGTGCACTTGCACTTGCAGAAAAGCGAGCAGGATGGGAGTATGGTCCTTCGGTCGCTGGGGACACGGCGTTTTATCCGTCAGGCTCTATTGGCGGTCCCGTTGCGAAGGAGGTGACGGATCGCTTCAGCGACTTCCTCGACACGGTGCATGCTAATGTCATTAATGATTCCAGAATCGCCGCGGCGTCGATGTGGAGGGTACGTAGTACAAATAAACCCAACACCTGGTCCTTATAAGTAACTCGCGTTAGGAGGGTGGATTAAAGAGCATACACGATTATGCGAAGTTGTATAAAGGACAGTGGAAGCAATCAGCGCCCGAAGGACCCTATCCAGGGATCTTGACGAACTACACAGATGATCTCCTCTTCTCCATGACCCAGCTGTCTGAGAACCCATACCGAGTCTTTCGCATTCCAAAAAACGCGCAACTTCCTTTCGATGTTTCCAACGCCAGAGCGATTGCCGGCCAAACATTGGCCTCTCTCCAAGGGGCTGGCCGTCTGTTTCTTACCGACTTTCTCGATCAAGCAAGCCTGCGGAAGACCACTGGAAGATACGGCGCTGCTTGCCAAGCTTATTTCTTCATTCACCTAGTGTCTGGTGACTTCTTGCCGCTCGCTATAAAACCCAACGTCGAAGGTTCGGATCTCGTCTACACACCGCAGGACCTACCTAGTGACTGGTTACTAGCGAAGATGATGTTCAATTCCAACAGCTTCTGGCATGCACAGTAGTATCATCTAGCAGCTACTCATGCAGTGGGCGAGATTGTGTACCTAAGTGCTATTCGAACACTGAGCGAAGAACATCCCATCATGGCCATTGTCCATCGATGTGAGCTATCTCTTGGAGCAGAGTTTCGGATGATGCTAACGTGATTTGAACAGTACTCAAAGACGCTTGGGCGTTCCGAGTCGTAGCTGTTCAGCGCCTGGTCTATCCTGGTGGTCCCATCGACGAGCTGTTCCCCTGGAACGGCAGGGAGGCAAGCAACTACACTGATACGCTTTACCAGTCGGGCGAAGCCAGCGCTTTTCAGTCTAACTATTTCGAGCTCAATCTGCAAAGACGCGGCTTGATTGACTCAGCGTTTGGGCCTAGGATCAAGACATTTCCTTTTCACCGGGATGCCTCTGTAATTCACAACGCAATTCGCCGTTTTGTGGCCGCTGTTGTACAGTCGTACTACCCAGATCCTAGCGATATTACCGGCGATCATGAGCTGCAATCATGGGTCAGGGAAGCCAGACCTGCCCAAATCGTCGACTTTCCCTCGTCTATCGAGGACCAGGACATTCTAGTCGGCATTCTAACGCACGTTGCGCACTTGGTGTCTGTTGTACATGGTACGCTGAACCTAAACGCTCTCGCTACCTCTTCGGGTTCCCTTCCTTTGCACCCATTCGCATTCTACACGCCCTTGCCGATGACCAAAGGGGTCCGCGACATCATGCCCTTCCTGCCACAGGTAGAAGCTTCTGTTGGTCAGATCGCACTAGCGGCAGACTTCAGCCGCCCTGGTTTTGTCGACAGTGACCAGACGATCGCGCACATGTTTGACAACACAACAATGCTGGCTAGAATGCCTGAGCCTGTACAAAAGGCGGAAGCAGATTTCCAGTCTGCGATGGATCGCTACAGTGCTGCAGTGAGAAGTAAGGTTTTTGATCAGGATGGGCTGTGTGGAGGCATGCCTTCTTGCTGGTCGACGTTAGATCCAAACAGTGCAACTTATTGGTTGACCGCCTGAATGTATAGATGAATCAAGGCTTCACCGCCATGAGTTACGTATAGTTATAGGTAAAATAACATGTGCCGTTTGTAGGGTAATTAATAAGAGCGAATCCAAATTTCTGCAACAAAAGGACAGATATGACTGGTTTAAGTCCTGCCAGAGACAGGGACTCCCTGCGCGAGTATGTCACGTGATGGGAAGCAGAGTGCCTAGTTCGGAGTAGTCAAGTCTCTCTCTTGCTCTTGACTATCCATTGGATGAGCAGCGTGAGCTCTTGCGTCTAGAAGTCTCTTTATGTGGAGTATCATCACGTTGGAGCCATCTTTACGCATACTAGTCATCAGCCCATGTGCACGGTCACTCTGCAAGATGGATTGAGGCTTCTCGGTTTTAGGCTCACCATAAGCTATAGTCCTTGAACGCGGCTACGATGCCAATAATATTAGATCAGACTACTTACGCTCGCACTCGATTTTCCTGATGACGTTCCCCTGCGAGCCCCACGTCTCACCAGTGTGTACTGGCAAATGTCAGCCATTGCGCAGGACAGCCAGCGTCTGCCCCACAACGGTGTTTCAGTTCCACGCTAAGCCCCGCCTCCCCCTGCACAGGAGCCTGCCACGTGCCTGCCTTAACAGTCAGCATGTTCTGCGTCGTGGTCGGCTCTGATCTCGCGCACCTCGCCGCGCTTACTTCGTAGATGCTTACCGAATATCACAATACACAAACAAGCCAAAGTGCGGGTGCGAACTTTGTCGGCAACGGATGGCAGCCTGGACTACCTTGGCTCAAATCTTACGAGCAAATTCACCGTAACGACTTTGCCTTGTGCGTCTGGGTTAATGTTAGCCCACCTCCAGGTCCGCTACGTATTGGAACGAACGCACTGGGGTTGTCGCGAACTTCTCTTACGTATAGTGTCCCTTGAGGCCCGGCATGCCTAGCGCTGCCATCGCATCTTTCCCTACTTCTCCAAAACGTGAAGCTTTTATATTTCGTGTCTTTATTCAAAAAACGCGTATAGGTGAATACGGTTTGGAAAGCACAGCTATCGCAATCGCAGCCGCATTTTACCCAGCTCTGAACCAGCCCACAATGCATACACACTAGCTCTGGGCGGCTGACCCACTCGTCTTCTCTATCCGGCGCGTTTCTCACAAGCCTCGTCAGACGACCAGCATGCCAGCAACACATCCTTGGCGGAAGCTTGAGCACCTCGACTTCTGATTCTTGTTGAATGAGAGAACGGCGGGTGCATATAGGGCTGTTCGACGAGCAAAACATACTCGCTGGATAGTTCCTGTGGCACAAGGTGCACCACTGTTGTTTGCGTGCAGAGTCTGGTGGGGCAAGGTAGGTACGTATCGCTACGCGTGCGCACTGCGAGATTTGGCCGCTCGACCATGCCCACGGATTGATCTGTACTTGGGCATCCAGGATGCGGTGCGCGAGCTTCAACGCGACTAGTCCATCCGCGGGAAGATAAGCACAGATCTCGGATAAGAGCTCTTGCGGTAACAGAAGTATTGGCGACATGCAGGCAAAAGAAAGTGTCCATATTGCAAGCAAACCAACATGGCATAGTAGTTAACTAACTTATATGAACCAAGACGGTGAAGAGGAATAAAAACAGCCATGGCAGCCGTTCCGCGTTTCTTGTCACAACAGCAATACCTCAAGTGTGTCCTGAAAATACGTCGAGTCATGAATGCTACAGGTAATCACTACACGTAAGATTCTTCAACAAGGCTGACGTCTCTGTTATGCCATCTCTGGCTGAAAGCTGAGGTTGTGAAACACCCAGAGTTGCTGGAAAGCTTCTATCTTGGTCTATACCGTGCGTCTGAGCTTTGTCCAGAAACAGCAGGATGCAATCCTACTCTGTGATTTACTCTGAGGACCTGGCGCGCAGCTAAGCTGGCTTTTTAGATGCAGCTTTACTCGTTAGATGATTTCTTCGATGTGGCTACACAGCACTCAGCAGCGTTGTCCCGACGGTTCAATCCCTGTGTGAGGTCAATGGTCATATACTACAACCAAGTGCAAAGATTATACGCTTCGGAGGGGGTGTTGGAGAGCGTATAGTTTTACGGCATCCCTGAACAATGCCGCTTAGCTGGCTGCAAAGGCGAATCGTCTCGTCGTCTCTTTTTGCTTGTCGTACGTGGAGTGGCGTGCACGTCCTTAAGCGCACTCCATTCGAGCATCTGAAGATCAACCAAGGTTTTGAAGGTTAGCGGTGAAGCGCTGATATGATGGATACGGTCCTGGTGCAATCTCAATCTCACGTCCAGCTCGTCGTTCAGCGAACGAACGCGCAAACATACTGGTTTGCAGAAATTTCCGTGCCCGTCGACCCACTTCGATATCTTTTCTTTGAAACAACATGCTTGCATTTGGGTCTGGAACTTTGCTTCCAGAGAGTCGAGTTTCTCCATTAACCTGGAAAATGCGGGGCTGCTACCAGGAATGCGACACCGAATCACCCCGTGACAAGTGTAAGAGCCACACTCATAGATTGGCATACATCCTGGCTGTAACTCAAAGTAAAAGGTGAGAGCGAGTGCAACGTCGGCCAGTTCATGCACCGCCGGGTCCCCCGTGAAGTAAGAACGAGCCGCTTTAGCAAGACTTCCTATGGCGAGAAAGTCAGATAGATCGGGTAGCTCGCCTTCCACTGGTAGGTTAAATCGATGGAGCCATTCATTTACGCTGGCAATCCCTCCGGGCAATGATGCAGCTAGAATCTGGCGCAGGAGGGCGAACTGCTTATCGCCATTGAAATTCTCACTATAGTAGTGATTGACAGTCTGCGGTATAGAGCTGTTCCCGAAGAACAGACTGGGATAAAAGTCGGCTTTGGCACCCTTTCTCGTTGTCGAAATGCCTGTACCAACGGACACAAAGTGGTCAGCACGGCTCAGCCTAGGAGCAATCTTATGCAGCTCCTGCACTGCAAGCATGCAGGGATTGTTGTCGCTCAGCCCTCCGTCCATGAATGTGCTATGGCCAGGCATTTTGTGTGGCGTGAAATACCTATAGCTATCAGACATCACTCAGCTAGCTACGATTTGTAGCACTCACCATGGAGCCGCCGATGTACATCTTGCACTGCCTCGTTGTGTAAGCATCGAAACAAGATTACAGCAGATCAACTCACGCGTCTTTGATGCGTATCTCACTGGCAGCGTCATCTGAGCGCAAGGGCCGGTACGTTGATGGATTTGTGCGTCCCTCGTCGCTATGTGTCGAAGTCATTCCGTTATAGCTCGTTACTAGACACGTGTCCAGTGTGTTGGCATCCACGACAGCAAGACCGACTCGCGCTCCAATCGCAGACACGTAATGGAGATCCAACATGGTGGCTTCGCCAAAGAGCTCCGCTAGGGCACCCTCAATGTCACTGGAAGGAAAACGGCCATGGCGCCACGAAGTGATAAAGGCATAGAGTGCAGTGAACATACCTAACCCAAAATAACTTCGTCCGCGAAATATGCGCGCTGCCAACTGGCTGAACAAATGGAAAGATTCCTCAACTCGCATACCCAGGCCGTAGAGCGCCAGAACGACCAGACCACCTATACAACAATGAGCCAGCCGTGGATCAGAGGACAGAAGAACTACAAACTTTCTGCAGTAACGTACCTGAACTTGTTCCATATGCGAGGTCGAAGTGTTCCTGAATCGGGATATCGAGACCGATAGCGTTTTCAAGCGCGCAGAGAAATTGTATAGGAATTGCGGCTCGGATGCCACCTCCATCGATAGAGAGCACGCGAAGACCAGCAGTGGCTGGTTTCACGCGCACAGTGACTTCGGAAATCTGAGAGCAAAAGGGACAGCAGTTCAACGTGTAGAGATAGGGATCCGTTGTAGGGGAGTCCCCCATATCTATGAAGCATTTCTCGCAGACCACATGGCCACACGTAAGCTTATGCTGCGGATCTGCTTGCATACAAGCTAAACAGACCTTGTGAAGCTTCCTCGTCGCAAGCCATGGCTGAAAATCTGCTAGTAGTCTCGTGCGAGGATTGGGGCATACTATCTTACTTCGTTCCACGAAGTGCTGCTCTGTAAGTGCAACCAATTGACTGCGAAGCAGCAACACTAGATTGCCACCGTGTCTCGAGGATTTTAAGACATTATTTCCATCTACATCTATATAGGACTTGTAGTGAGTTGTGAACACTTGGAGCGGGTTGAAGACTTGTGCAAGTTAGCAGATCGAAACTCTGTATCGCTACAAAACACTGACAGGGCACGTCGTATGCATAGTTATCCACCACAAAACAGCCTGCAGCAAATGGAATTGCAAACTCTATTATTTCTTCCATGTTGTCTACCGAGTCAAAAAGGACGCTTAGATACGTATGCAAATGCGTAGACACGGGGCGGTGCGATCGCGACGCAGCGATCATGTCGAACGGGACTCGTTCGTTGCTGACGAAATGATCGCAAGCCTGACGAAAGAGAATATCAAAGTGCACTGCATTTAGGAGGGTGCGGCTACGAACACGCTCGTTTCTACTTGTATCCACTTCGCTTTTGATGCGGTCGGTAAGCGTCTGGGTGCTAGTATGCTTGACATACACAGAGAGGCGAGAAAATGAGTCAAATTTGTTTTGTTTCGAACGCGTACGTAAGAGTTCTACCAAATGACTTTTTACAGCGGCCTCGCTTCGTTTTTCCGAACATGATGCTACAAAGAGTAATCGAGGATGTGCTGCGGTACTGGACTCTTGATCACGTGTCTGTTCGAGCCACGGTAACATACGCTCCACCTGGTGGCGCACGTCGCGAGTCCCTGTAGAGAAGAAACATACCACGTCCGTAAAAGGGCGAATTAGACTACTATGGAGGCTATCAAAAGCCTCAGTTAAATTACCCGCTTCCCATTGCAATCCACGTACCGTTTGGCGGTGACAAGGAGCGGCTGCGGGCTCTGCTGAGGCCGTGCTCCGTCTCGAGATATCTTCTTGTGCAATCAGGATTGGATGGTCACTAAAAGCGGTAGCCGAATCTAGTTGCAGAGTCACTCCGTGAGATACTCGGCTGTTCACACAGGTTCTACTATAGGGAAAAGCATCAGCCAATAAGGTTTCTTTTGCAGCGCTGCTAAGCATGACGACCAGACTCGGGCTCTTGCTAGCAGGTTTGTCGAGGCCTGTGATTATATCGTTCAAAGTACTGGCACAATGCAACATAAACTTCTCTTCTCCATGGAGAGACAGCCAGGATTCATGCTTGCAGCTCTTCATGGTTGCTGGACCACGATGGCTGACTGGAAGAAATTTCTGAAGAGAGATTCTAAGCAGGCTTTACGACAAGCAATTTACGTTAGGTGCCAATGTGTTATATAACGCTAGTAAGAAAATTGCGATACCGCGCAAGGGCGATGAGTGCGAGAGTGATACGATAGCATGCTTACTCTATTTACGATGACGCGTAAGCAGATGACCTATGACAAAGCGATATGTAGTCCCGGATCTTTATGCTTATGAGAGACGCAAAGCGTCGGTTCATGGAACATAGTGGAAAACTGAGTAACTGTCAGAACGTTCACAGCTGCTTGTTTACAGATAGCACTTGCTGACCCTCTGCTTGAGGTTGATGAAAGCACATCAGATATCCACCCTAAATAGACCTAAGGGGATTTGACCGCTTTAATTCTTCCACTTTGCCTCGCTAGATACAATGAAGAGTAGTTATTATCTATTCAGAGTTTCCGCGTTTTGGCATGCTAATTACATAGATTTTTGACCAGCGCAAGCCGTCATTTTGCCTATTGAATAGGTTCCTAGAACATCACAGGCTCCACGGGTGTTGGGTCTCAATCGGTTCGGGAGGTCCGTGGCGAAGTAACTGAAGGCATGGCTAACAACAGTTAAGGTCATTTTGATCAAATTGTTTTCAAGCAATAGAGTCAACACGTGGAACCAAGGCTATATATTGTAGGAATCGGAAACTGCGGCAATACTAGAGTATAGATCGGTGGAATTTAGTCTCATGAATACCTCCAAAGCGGTTGATAGAAACTCAAATGGCCATGAAGAGCGGCTTTCTGCGGATGAGAACGTTGGGAAGGCCTTCTCTCGCCCCGCGTCTCATGCCGGAGCCACCTGCCCTCACGATTCCAAACGATATTCCAACCAGCGGGGTCGCATACCACAGCTTATTCTTGCTATGGCGGCTCTGCGCCTAGAAAACAACAAGATTGAGGAGATGATAAAGAGATAATACGAGGTTCTTGATCCAATAAGGATAGCTGAAGGGTCCGAACATGCGGATGGTCTGTATAGCGAGTACGTAATTGTGGATGAGTGACTGCGCACGCAGGGGTTGCTTCCTACGGCGAGCCATAGCGCTACTAATTACATAGCTTGGTTTCTTTGGAACTAGCAGCACCCAATACCACAGCCTGAACTTCTCACTGATACCAAAATCAAGCCAATTGCGTTTGATGAGATGCAAATTCACGTTTCAAAGCCAGTGTAACTTCGTGTTTACCCTGGTTATTGGCATCCTTTCGGTGACGTCTGAGTAGACGTTGGCGTTGACCTGTATAGGTAAAGGGTGGCTAGTCAAGGCTATATATTGCCTATCACTTTAATTGATATAACTAATGGCGAATTAGGAGTCATAGATAGCCACTTTAGGAAGCGCTCGATATCAGGATTCGATGGTTATGCTTACGCCCACAAGTAAGCAAAACTATCGTCTAAAGAGCTAATTACTAAATTTGTATGTTCATTTGCATTGCTATCTTGCCTAACCTGATATAGAGCGGAGTTTACATAATTCATTGTAGAGATTCATTTCTCTATTATCTGAGCCAAGAAACATTCTTCGAGCTTTACTTACCCTTGCCCGAGTCTAGTCTCTCAAGTCATCCTCAGCTGCCCAGTAAATTCAACATAGTAAGCCCGGTGGTGCCGATGGACATCGCAGATTACAGTGCCATCGTCGTATTCTGGATTTTTCGCAAACACAAGGCCAGGATGCTGCGCACATTTCAGTGTTGGAGGGCCAGCTCCATCACCTATAATCGAGCAATCCTCGCCGTCGTAGAGCACAGAAGCTACGGGCCATTCTCCAGCGGGAGTCATAGGAGGTACCTCGATGTCGCTAATGACTGGGTTTGGGTGAACCGGTCCTTCGTGGTGATAGACCTTGTGAAAGGGCCTGACATTGCAAGGATCAACTGAGACGCCTTGAGGCCCAAAGTAAACGCCCCAATTATGTGCATAGCTGAAGACGTTCTCTTCATAAAGGATTTGAAGGGAGTTCTCATGCAATGAGAAGCGTCTTGCTATAGTAGCACTTGCTGGTTCGTTCAATGCAGCTGGAGCGCAGATTTCACAAGAAACACCTGCTTCCTCGCTATCTCTGTATGCTCCACGCATGTTTAGCTTGGGAGAACATGCTACCGGTGAAGCTAATGCCATAAACAGTACCCTTGAAGCTATGCTCGACAGCGAGATCATAGTAAGTTACCTCTGCTAGTTCGTGACTAACTAATTGTAGCAAGAAAGGTGAAGAGCGGCACAGGAAAGATAATTGTAGAGACAGTGAAAGAGCAGTTTTTGACTTAGGTGCTTAGGCCCAGTAAACATAGTTTTATGCTAATAACGCGAGCCCATAAGCATAAGCAACACCATAACGATTCAGTCATGCCTGTACTTCCCAGCTTGCATCAGCCTAAGCCTCACTGAGCTAGACCAGTCAAAGCAGCCTAATCCACTAACTAACTATTTACAGCCGCTTCCATTCGCCGTTGCGAAAGGAAATGCTTCACTGCCGTTGCCGTAAGCAAAATAGATGCAACTTCTCTTAGAGATGCAAAAAACGCACACGTATTTAATAACGTACTTTTTATAATCATACAGTTAGGGTGGCGATTGCGATGGGCTGCGAGGACAGAGGGTATTTAATCCCACGTGGCTGAAAGCCCTACAGCCATCCTTTGTCTATCCCTTTCCTCAAGGCAGTTCGTCCCTGCTTCACTATTTGACCCCTGTGCAAACGCCATTTTACATCGCTATCATATATTTAGGTACCTGCAAAAGCAGCGCAAGCGCGAAATATAATTATCTTGGGGTTTAGCACTACTCAGTCATTGAGACCGCGAATCCCGGGAGTTTCGCTGTAGAGAGCAAGAAACACGAGGAAAACTCCTAGTGTAGCAAGGGCAAAAGTTATTATATGTCCCACCACAAATCATGGGTCTATATTAGTGCATTGACACCTAGTATCTATAGAGTCAGCATAGTCCCCAAACATTGATACTTTAATAGTATACTGCGACTTTGGATATCGCGATGCATCTTGTCACAAAGATCCATGTAACGATGTTACAGCCTCGCCAAGCATCAGATCAATCCCAGAGCCGAATCGGGGGAAGTATCCGCCGCCCCCTCCCCCAGCTATTGTTCTAGTCGGACCCGGATCGGATCCGACTGAGACAGGTGTATATGGAGACACTCCCTGTAGCTAGCTCAGTAGACCTTTGATATCCTTTCGTACAAGGCCTATAGGTGTCTATTCGAATCAAGAC